GTTTGTGGTGCAAACACCCAGATGCTCCCAGACTGTCGGCGCCTGTGCTGGAGAATGCACATGCCCTTTCTATCAGGCGATTTGGCTCTCCTGCGTACACCGGCTCTCTGTATTTCGAGATCCGTCCGTTCCGAGCAGTAAGAATTATTCATCATTGACCATTTATTAGCTTGCTTTCCAATTCACCAACGATGGCTGTCAGATTACAACCTACCGGAAAAGGTTTACCCCTTACACTTGTTCCCAAATCACCCCCGACAGATTTCGACGGTCTTCGTAAACAACTGCATCGGGTGAGTGATTAGCTTCAGAGGCTAGAACCCAGGAGGGACACCGCCATATTTAAGTGGTTGATCGTTCAGGGACAAATCCTGCTGCGTCAAGCCTCAAAGTCTGCAACCGACGATCTGCCGTTGGTGGTCGAGGATACTGCGCCTCAACCCAGATGGGGGTCTGGAAACGCTGACTTGGGGTTCTGTGTGCTCTGTGACCGGCCTACTACTACCAGTGACCGCTGGTGTACAACGGATCGCGTGTCATATCACGCCGACTGTTGTGACGGTGAACCCTGCCCACTGTGTGGTGGTGCGCTTCAGGCTTGTCCCATAGGTGAGTCCACATGAAAATAAATCACTTTGGGTTCTTAGCTCCGGGCCCATCCAGAAAACGCAGAGGTGTGCTTGCTACCCGGTCCGCAAAGAGGGCGTCTTATGATGTCGACCTGGACCGAAGCACAGATTCCCAGCACATTGTGTCCCGTAAGTCTGTGTGCGTCCGTGTTTTCGGGTCCACAGAGGAACTACTCGACAGTCTTGAGTCAATGTCTGACAACTACGACTAACTCTGTAGAGCGCCAGCTAGATGAAAGAGACGAAGATGATTTCATGTGACCCATCGGCTCCGAAAAGTTTGTCTGTTAATGAGGTCCTATGCATTACATGTAAGTCTCGTATTTCTTGAGAGGTGCAGTAAACAGGCATGCGAAATAACCGCTGAAGATGGCATCGTGTGAACAGGCATCTACGACAGCATAGTCGCCGCAGTGAATTTTGGGGTAAGTATCTCTACCTGGTTGTCGGCCGCCCGCCTTATGGTGATATTTCGATATCCTGAATTATATCTTTCTCATTTCAGAACTTCAACGGCCAAATGAACGCTCTTCACGAAGAAGAAAATGCGCCTCCCAGAAGGACATATGTAAACTTCAAGACGACCAATATATCTCAAGATATCAAGACATCCATTTTGGGCCTTTTTTCCGTTACCGATGGGTGGATTAGTGAGGCATCGTGTACACCTAGCCGCATGTTAATGGTCTGCGTCGGTTAAGATCGTTCAGCTGTCTGGTATTATCGACGTAGGCTCAATGTGGCTAGTTAGTTAGGCATCGTGTGCCCATGGGCGCATGTTAGTGCTGTGCGTCGGTTGAGATCGTTCAGCTGTCTGGTATTATAGACGTAGGATCTATGTGGCTAGTGAGTTACGCATCACTGCAGATCCCTGGGAGATCTTGTGTCTGAGGAAATTGCCAAGCGCCTCAGCAGCGACCCGGACTTCGATCAAGCTCAGTACCATCTGTCCAACGAAGTGTTTGTGAAGAATAAGTCTCACCGGGAGAAATAAATTAAACCAGTTCGGCGCTACACACGTCACCTTATAAACTTCTCATAGCCTATCGGGCTCCGTCTCAGAATGTCTATATCTGCTGCAAGAGAACCCTGTCTGCCCATTATTACCATCAAGACCGATCACCCGGTTTAAAGCAGCCTATCAGCTTTGACTGGTTTCTGAGCGCGACGACTGTATCTCTATTTCAACTTTTACTTTTGCTGTAAAAACGTGGGATATCAGGGTGTTCACACGAAAAATCAGCATATCGTAATCACGGTTGAACAAATTTACCAATGCCTCGTCTACCACCACGTGAAGTTCCAGAATACGAGGCGGTGGTCGATCCGGCCGATGCAAGGTGGGTAGTAATCACGGACAAATTTACCAATGCCTCGTCTACCACCACGTGAAGTTCCAGAATACGAGGCGGTGGTCGATCCGGCCGATGCAAGGTGGGTATTAGTTCAACCGTCGATTCGCCGGTGGTTGATTCCGTATCGACTAGCAAAGCTTCAGCCTCTTGTGGAACGTGCCGCGGAATACGACGTTTAGTTGTGGTAATGGCTGGTTTTTCCCGTAGGCCGTGAGTATCGGCTGCGTCTTGCACACTCCACACTGAGGGCGACTAGCGGCTTAAATATGTCTGCATCGGTGCCTGGTTTGAGATCGACGTTGGTCGTTTAATATTTGTTGATTCGTTGTCCACTTCCGTCGATTGAAATGGGTCAGAATCCAATGTTAAACCTTCATTGTGGAAGTTATCGTTAGTCGACAAGGAGCCTCTAGCTGTACTTTCGATTGAGAGTCTTGAAGCAAATCTAGGCCGGAATGTGAGTTCACAGGTTTTAGACGACACTATATTGCATTGGGCTGGTTGTCCGTGGGTGTCACGCCGTGATCACATAGCGAGAACAGTCCGTATATGGGTTGCGTACTAACTTGTCCAGAACTGTTATCAGACAGGTTGTAAGATTCCGGTACGGTGCGATACAAACAGACCGGGTGGCTAGGGTTATGGTCTAGTTCTCCTTCCAAAGAGTGGACCACGGCCGATGATAGATATGTTGTATCACGAAGTAGAACTAGCGTCAAGTTCTGTGTTACGTTGTGGTTGACGAACGAGAGTGGCAGGAAAATCCTTTCTGTGAATGAGTGTAACTCATCTTGAAAGACTACCTTGGGGTCGACAATATAGCTAGAGTAAATCAATAGAATTCTGATAGAAAATTCACTTAAAATTAGCAGTATGACGATTTGGAAAAAACGCATTTCAACATCCCTAAGAGACCAGCAAATCAGTATACTGTCACGTAAAAGTAGATTTTTGATTTGTCATAGAGAACTGATGTTTGATATCGTAGCGTGCACGATGCTTAGCAAATAATTAGCGCGCACTACGGAATTTTTACTGGCAACAAAGAATCATCGACCAAAATTTGTTTGCACCAACGCGCCTACGCATATGTTGCATCTCCAAAGGCCATTTAGATTCTAATGTTGAGAAAATCTGTTCCGGTGGAAAAATACCTGAAGGTTACTTTCATTGTATGTGAGTCAACCTTTTCCACAATTCGTGATCTTTTATCATCAGGTAACTCATTCACAGTCGGCGGTGTTTATTAACCTGGAGATTTCGTTCACTTAAACAAACCGCCATAGTAAAGGATTTTCAATAATGCAGGAGCACATACATTATACATAGGCATTCTTAACTATGAAGTGGCAAGTCTGAAAATGCCGTAGATTTCGAGAAATCGATCTCATTGTGCGAAAAGCCAGCGGCGGCAGTGTTCCTTTAAACTTCATACACCCTTAAAATTTATGTATGCGTGCAAGACCCAAGCGTAGTTATGAATCTGTTAGGCGGAAATTCGCAACAGATCTCGCTTTACCGCTCGCTACGGCCGACAAGTCCATCCCAACCAAGATTGGTCGATAATTCGGGATGCTTGACGGTCCGGCACCAAGCCGAGATCTGATTGGTTGAAATTCTTAACCCAACAGCCAATCATGACCCAGTATTGGTCGAATGTCGGTTGTCAGTGGCGCGTCCAGGATTTCAGAATTTCCAGAGCGTTATGGCCGCCTATGCTATACATATGGAACGCTGTACAACTGTAAACTGAATTTCTGGCGCCGAGAAAGCTGCCTTCTAACATGAGCTATCCGGACTCATTCTTCGAGCAAGGAACATTGATATTGTGATCCCTGCGGACTGAGCTTCTCGAAATCACATTTGGGCCGTCGATTCGGAGTCGATGCTCGTCGCACAGGCAACAGAGAACCGCTGCTTCATTTGTATGCTGGTCTTGAACTGTTTCCAGCCAGTACGAAATTTTAGTATAAACATTCGCATCGCGTAACGTGGTGGCTACTAACTGCAAGTCGGTCGTGGGCTCCATTGGACCACGTGTCCTTCAGCCACCGGTGGAGAGCAAAATTCGAGACTGCCGTTACTTTTGGGGTATGCTACCTAATTCCGATCACGCCATGGTGCGTGCACGTCTGACAGTTTTCCTTCAGGCTCTAGCAAGTCAACAAGAAGCATGCCATCGAAGAACTACCATAGCTCAATAGTATCGATCTGCGCTATCCCAACAACTCTACGGCACACTAATACTGTACTGGTGGTGAGCACGTAGATGATGCATAAAAATATTTGATAGGAGCTGTGATAGTGGCGTTCAGTGCTGTCTGTCCGACTTCTCTGATTCGATCACAGTGCAACTGGATGTCATCAAGGCCGCTAGTCTTGGTTGACGCCAGGAAATCGATACCAGCAGGATATGATTATGAGGTGCATACAAACCCCTCAAACGCCACGTAGTGAAGAGCCTAAGGAAAGACCGAGAGCTCCGGTGGACATCAGAAGCTCGGAAGATGGAGAAGGCCTTTGCTACTGGAAACAGCTTACCCTATATCAAGTGGTACGATCGACTGGCCCTGGGAAAGTAGCGTTCAGTGGAAAGATAGGCAAAAAAGGCGGCTCATTGATTCATTCACAAAAATGTCGACTGGAAAAATGGGCCTAGCACTTCGAAGAACAGCTTAGCTAGCCTCCTGCAGCATAGCACGTAGAGAATATGCATACAGGCGAATGGGATGTACACCTTAATTGCCCGTCGGAGGAAGAAATAAAGTATAAAATATCGGCACTAAAACGTGAGGAGGCGCGAGGACCAGATGGTCTGTATTTTTTCCCGTTCAAAGAGAGCGGATGATCTCTGGTGAGCCATCTAACAAAACTTATTGGTGCTATGTGGAGCGGAGAGAAAGTGTCTGCACAACAGGGCATGTCGACAATTATTCCTCTTTTCAAAAAGGGTACGCAGACGCTGTCTGAAAGCCACCGTGGCATCGGCCTGGTAGCTGTGGTATCGAAGAACCTTTCTAATCTTATCCTCCAACGGCTTACAGGAAAGGCAGATCCGCAAAAACCAAGCTGCACTCATCGATCACATCTCCACCCTCTGACAGATTTTAGAACAGCGACGCTGTTTTCAGCAACCAACAATGGTTGTGCTCCTTGACTTGAAAGCTGTTGTCGTCTCTGTGGACTGTCAGGCACCATAGCAATGTCTATGGAGCAAAGGTATCCAACATAAATTCTTGACCCACCTTAAAGCGCTGCACACCAACTCTCGCGGACGTGTGAAGGAATAAGGGAAGCCCTTGTCTGAGTTTACCACATCAAGTTGTGTCAGGCAGTTTTGTCCTCTTTAACCTTTGCTCTTCAACTTTGTAATTGACATGATTATCAAGTACTCAGTACCAGCCTTTAATGCCTGTGGGGTCGAGGTGCTATGGAGGCTTCCACTCACAGATGGGAAGTACGCAGACAACATGGCCTATGTTGGACCTGACCTCGCGGTAATGCAAAAAATAAAAAAACAATGTACATAATTCTTCCACACGGTTTTGCGTGCGCTCCCCACCTACAAAGTGTAAGGTGCTATTGCAAGACTGGGTGGGCCGGAACCCTAACTTCATGCTTCAGGATGAGGCGGTTGATATAGTAGACAAATTCGCGTATTTGGACAGCTGTGTCAGCCCCGGTAGTCCCTGTCTAGGCTTAAGACACCTGACAAGATCCCAGCCCTCGGGCTTCCTATGGATGGCATGGCAGCTAGGCACCAAAGAGGTGTTACAGGTGAACTCTCATCTTTTCTCATATTTATTTAGTCTTTTGAAAGATAGTATTTCCATCTGGATTGGGAGGAACTTGCATCACGTGTGGCGTGGTCAAAGGTGGAGTTTACAATGCTTTGGTGTGCTATACATCATTATACGGGTCAGAAACCCGGCCGCCGCACGCCGAGGAAGTCGAACGACTTTCAACATTTGACCCTCCATGTCTCCGGACTGTTTTCTGATTCTGGCAGGAACAATGGATCAGTAATACTGAAGCACACTGAATGGTTTCCGGAGGAAATTACTCACCACGACAGATGAATTGGTCATACTTTATGGGCTGTGCTAGCTTGGCTACTTGTTCTGTGTGCCAGTCGAAGGATTTCCTCAAAGGGCTCTTTTCGCACAACTACACGAATGGTAGAAACGAGCCAGCGGAGGTCTCGTAATGACTCCGCAGTAAAGTATGCAAGCCATCACCCCCGAACACTGTTCTGGTGATTGTCGTCTCCCTGAATGGGGACTCGAGACGAGGCACATCATTGTTTGGTGACATTATCTTACGTGGCCATATCGCGCCCTTAACGGAGCTATTGCATCCAAGCTATTGCCTTCAATGTATAGCCTCCCTCCCGATCGCCAGTGGTAAGCCCACTGGCAACCCTTTATCTGCGCGTCAATTATATCAGCTACCGCCTCCAATGCCCAACTACCTAATCCATCTCCCCAAGTCGTCGGTGATTGTAACTGAGACAGCTATAAACACTGCACGGCAGGTATGCAGTTCTTACGCCTGATGATGACATCGGTCGCTGGAAACATCTAGCTCCATCATCTGCGGTAGTTGGGCCATGTGCCATGCATGCGAAAACCTTGTTTACCGAGGCGTATTGTTGTCCATGCCCCCTTCAGAATGGCGCGAACTGCCAGATGGAAGCGTATAACTTGACAGAGAGGTTGGAAAGATATTACGAAGGGTTTAGGTGTTGTTAGTTCGGCCTGTCTTCTACGATTGACCCCCGCTGTGCCCCTGTGTTTGCCTGAAGACATCAAGAAATGGCAGCTGATTGGTCGCATTCGCTTTCGTGAGCTCGCTTTCCAGATTGCTCGGTTAAGCTCCTGGGGCTGTAGGCGCCTCGGAATGCTTGTGGCAAATCTGCACCCCGTTTCTTCCCTCCTACACTTTCCTCTTCTTTACACTAATTTTTCCAGTGCAATTGAGTAAAAACTTCGGTTTTACGGCAGTGAAGCATCAGTGAAACATCACTGTCAGCAATGATGTTCCTGTCCATGATGATGTTGGTCGCTTTGTTGCTCCACT